CCCAGGCTTAAACTTTCCACTTAACTTCCTCCAACCACCTAAATCCAACCCTACCCCAGGCCTGAATATGTGCAGACAAGGCCATGTGAACCCTCATTTGTGTAACTGCGGGAAGTCCACTGTCTCCAACTATTTCTGATGATCCTAGTGATGGCCGTCGGTGCCCTGGTGGTGACTGCCCCCTTTCACGCCCTGTCCTGGCTTCAGTCTCAGTCTTTCCAGGCCGCTCGGCCCATGCTACTGCTTCCTGTGGGTGGATCCCAGGGTGCCAGCACTCGGGCCCTCATGTGGGCAGGACTCCTCCTGACTTGGTATACCTGAGGGAAGCCCCCACCAGAACTAGAAGTGTCATCGAGGTAGATTTTACACGAATCCTGATGTCCCCACCCTCGCTGCATGCTGTGCCTTCATGATTTGTTGCCTCAGAGCCTCTCACCACCTTCCTTCGTGAGGCTTGTTTCTCCCTGCAGAGTCTCTTCCCCCTCTCCGTTCTCCCCAGATCCAAAGCTCTCCAAATCGCGACCCTCAGCTAGTGCTTTCTTAATCAAAAGATGCAGAAAAAGTGTCTTCCTATCCTTGGCTATTCACCTTTAGCAACGGAAAAAACCGGCAAAAGTTTGAAATTACACATTTTATTTAAATGGGCTCAACATTCATGGCCCCCTCTGTCAGTACCAGCATTTCCTTTCAGGTTTAGCATCTTGGCAACACTCCCCTTGCTGAAGGACAGGTTTCAGGTATGGTGATGCTTTCCCTATAAATAGCCTTTTTCATGTGTTGCATAAGCTTATAATTTGTGTCACAAGAATATTTTTAGGATGAAGCCCCTTAAAAGAATTGTGTCCAGGACTGACTGAGGGTCTGCTTAAGTGGTTGTTTCTGGTGTTTCCCAAAGTGGCCCGGAAGTATCTCTAGGACACCCTTCCTGGCACAAAGAATCTTCCCAAGGCATTAATGACCCAACAAATGTAGGGGAAATGTCTAAATGTTAAAACTAGCAAACTTATGAACTATAAAACAAGATGTATCATTGAAGGTAAGATGTTTCCAGCATGAGAAGCTTCATTTGAGAACTACTCCCTCAGGCATCACCAAGATTCAGGCAACTTTGGTGGAACCTGGAGAAACACTGACTTACCATCATACAGAAATGTATTAGCTTTTTAAATGATTTTTTAACGGCACTTCTTAACTCCTTGTTTTGCTGATAATTTGCAAACTACAGACTGTTATTTTATGTAGTATGTGCATGTCAAGAAGTTGTGTTTGAGTTGATATATTTGTATGCTTTTTAAGGAACCCTAAAATAAATTATTTTATAAATTATCATCCTCAATTATTAGTTTTGTAAGTTTGAATTTAGTAAATTATTTTTAAGTAGTTTTTTCACTGACTATAAAGATAAATAAACATTCATTAATTTTTCCTAATTTAATTTTTCTCAGCTTCATGGCAGTATAATCGGCAAATAAAAATTGCATATAATCAAGGTATGGGTATGGCAACATAATGATTTTATAGACATACACACTGTGAAGTGATTCCAACAATCAAATTAATTATCAAATGAATCACATTCACTGATCTTAAATTGGAAATAGTTCTTTATAAATTTGGCTCTTAAAAATGACACTACCATTGAATTTATTTTACTCAGGCCAATGAAAATTTAAGATTATATTTGTTAATAGTGTTAAGTAGTTTCAGAAGTATTTTTTAGGTTCCATATCATGCTTAAAATCTATATTCTTTCTAATACTTGTATTATCTTAGTGAAACATGTAAATAAAACATCAGTTCAGTAATGAGGTTCCTCAGGGCAGATTATTAAATAACTGTGAGATTAACCAGGCTAACATCAAAGTTGATTTGGAAGGTTGTACTATTGATTGCTCTAAGCAATTATATTAGTCAAATATAAATGCTCAGTACATTTTCATTAACATGCTATGTATGTCCAACTGCTTCTAAATGCTTTCTTGGTCTTTATCCAGTGTCATCAACAAATGTTTAATAGAAGAGTTTATTAAAGTTGTATTTATTATACTTAATGTAAAAGAATGAAAATGAACATTGATTAGGTTAAAGTAGAGTGGCTAAAATGTAATTTGAAATCATTTGGAGTTCAATTTAAATCAATATCTTTGATAATATAGAAGTATTAGAAGTATGTGGCCACAACTTAAGATGTGTTCAAATATATCATTATGGACAAAATTAGAGCAATACCATGTTATTCCTGGATTATCTGAGAAAGAATGTTAGCTTTTTCTAATCTAAAAATAAAACAAAATAAAATGAAGTTAGCTACTTCTGTACTCAGTAAAAATCTGGGATAACCAACTGCTTACACAAGATTTATTGTTTTATTTTTTAACTTACATGGCTATTTTATTTTATTTGTACAAGTAAAAATGTTTTTTATTTTAATGATGTGGGTACAATTCAGGGTTAGGTATACAAATGTTGATTTTGCAGGCACCCTTGTTGATGAGGTGTGCTCCTCACTCCCCTAGCAGTTTCCCTCAACTGCCAATTCCACCCCCACTCCCCTGGCAGTTTTCCGCTACTGCCAATCCCTTTCTTATTATGATAATTGTTCAAGGTCCGCTTATGAGTGATAACATTTCTGTGATAGATCACTGGGTATGATTGACTCTAAATCCATCCAAGTTACTGTGCAGTCCATATGTTTGTCCTTCTTTATGGCTGCATAATATTCCATTGTGAATATGTACCACTTTTTTTAATCCAGTCCAGCTTTGATGGACAGCATACATGGTTCCATGTTTTTGCTATTGTGAATAGAGCTGCAATAAACATGCGTGTGCAGGTATCTGTTTTGTAGAATGATTTGAATTCCACTGGGTATATTCCCAATAGGGAGATTGCTGGGTCATATGGAAGGCCAATTTCCAGTTCTTTAAGAAATCATCACACTGTCTTCCAAAGAGGTTGCAGTAGGTTGCTTCACCTCCAGCAGTGTAGAAGCATTCCTTTTTCCCTGCATCCTCACCAGCATCTGTTGTTGTTTGTTTTATTAATGATGGCCATTCTTACTGGGGTTAGGTGGTATCTCAATGTGGTTTTGATTTGCATTTCTCTGATGATGAGTGAGGCTGAGCACTTTTTCATGTGTCTGTTGGCTGCCTGTGTATCTTCTTTTGAAAAGTGTCTATTCATGTCTTTTACTGAATAGTTTCTCCTCTCCCCAGTGGTTATTTTTGGAGGCTTTGTCAAAGATGAGGCTTTGCTTCTGGAATCTCTATCCTATTCCATTGGTCTATATGCCCATTTTTGTACCGATACCAGGCTGTTTTGATTACTGTAGCCTTATAGTAAAGTTTGAAGTCTGGAAGTATGATACCTCCTGCTTTGTTTCTTTTGCTAAGGATTATTTTGACTATTTGTGGTCGTTTATGTTTCCATATGAATTTCTGTATTATCATTTCCAGGTCTGAGAAGAATGATGTTGGCAATTTAATGGGTATTGCGTTGAATCGGTAGATTGCCTTTGGTAGGATGGACATTTTAACAACACTGATTCTTCCTATCCATGAGCATGGAATATTTTTCCATTTGTTTGTGTCATCTTGGATTTCTTTGAGCAGTGTTTTGTAGTTCTCATTATAAAGGTCTTTCACTTCTCTGGTTAGGAAGATGCCAAGGTATTGTTTTTTCCCCCCTGTGGCTATTGTGAATGGGATTGTGCTTTTTATTTGGGTCTCTGCCTGCTTGTTGTTGGTGTATAGGAATGCAACTGTCTTTTTGCACATTTATTTTGTACCCTGAGACTTTACCAAAGTCCTTTATCATTGCAAGCAGGTTTTTGACAGATTCTCTTGGATTTTCAAGGTATAGGATTATATCATCAGCAAAGAGGTATAACTTGACTTCCTCTTTTCCTATTTGGATACCCCTTGATTTCCTTCTCTTGTCTAACTGTCCTAGCTAGGACTTCCAACACAATGTTGAACAAGAGGGGTGAGAGTGGGCAGCCTTGCCTTGTTCCAGTTTTCAGGGGAAATGTTTCCAGTCTCTGACCATGTAGCAATATGCTAGCTGTGGGTTTATCGTAGATGGCACTTACTATTTTGAGGTATGTTCCTTCTATACCTCGGTGTTTGAGGGTTTTTATCAAGAAGAGATGCTGGATTTTATTTTATAAAAGCTTTTCCAGCGTCTAATGATACAATTACGTGGTTCTTGTTTTTACATCCATTGATGTATTTAATTAGATTTATGATCTTGTGAATGTTGAACCAGCCTTCCATCCTGGGAATGAAGCCTACTTGGTCATTCAAAAATAGATTTTGAGATGTGTTTTGGATCTAATTTGCTAGAATCTTGTTGAGGATTTTTACATCTATGTTCATAAGGGATATTGGCCTGTAGTTCTCTTTTTTTGTTGGATCTTTTCCCAGTATGGGTATCAGTCTTACACAAGATTTAAATGAGATGTAGGACAGAGTACAGATCTGGTTATCTTTAGCTCAGAGAATATATTATAGAGAAATCTGCTTAGAATATCAACAGTTTATTTTCAATTTTTTTTGCTATGCTTATAATTCTCTATTATCTAGGAAAATAATATAACAAAATGTTATTGACTTGTGTGAAACAAATTTAAAAATTTTAAATATTAATAAATCACTACATTAATCTAAAAATTCTATCAGTAAGTTTAGGTAATATGGAAAAAGTGTATGTCTTTCTAAGAATATGATTAAATCACATCTTGCAAACTAGTAAATTAACTTTAATTCTATTTAAATAAAACATTGTTGACCTTAAGATAGAATATTTGATAAAACCAGAATTGCGACTCTTGGCTCCTCCGTGACTCAAGGAACAAACCAAGGGGACAGGCTCTGACTGTGGAAAATGCTAGCATGTGCTGGGTTTTGCTGGTGGAGTGATAGCTCTTAACTACAAACAGAATTGATAAGTTGTTACAATAAGATCTTAATGAATTTTTATATTTTTAATTTTCTCCTTAGGCTATCAGCTGCAAAGGTCAACACAGTATATCCTACACTTTGTCGAGAAATCAGACTGTGGTGGTCGAGTATACACATGATAAAGATACGGATATGTTTCAGGTAAGCATCTTTCTTTTTTAACAGAAATTCTAGCATATTTTCCTTCAATTCTGTATTTTGATATGTGATCAGAACTTCCAGCACAGTAGTGTTTGGCGATGTCCAGGAGCGAAGAGGTGAAATTAATGTAAAGACAATGTAGCAAATATTTCTGTTTGGTTTTTGAAAGATTAAGAGAAAATTTAATTCTTAAATTGCAAAAAGAAATGACAACAGCTACATTCTCAGTACTCAAGATCTCCATGCAATAAAAATAGACATTAATAGCAAGAATAAAACTTGTAAAAGCCAACCACTTTTAAAAGAAAATTTGCACAAAACCAGAAAACCAAATACCACATGTTCTTACTTATAAGTGAGAGCTAAACATTCTTTGGGTACACATGGACATAAAGATGGGAACAACAGACACCGGGGACTTTTAAAGGGGGGGGAGGTGGAGGCAAGGGACTGGGTACCGCACTCACTATTTGGGTGACAAATTCTATAGAAGCCCAAACCTCACCATCACACGATACACCCCTGTAACAAGCCTGCACATGTACACCCCCCCGAATCTAAAATATAAATAAATAAATGCCAACATGCTCAGGATACTTCCTAAGTAGCACCTGAATTAAAGAGGACATCATAACTCCATTTAGAGGCCTTTACAGAAATAACTGAGAGTGCTACACAGCAACAGAGACGGGAAAGAGGGAGGAAAGGAGGGAGGGAGGGAGGAAACCAAGGAAACCAACCAAGTAAACATTTCTTTCAGAAGGTGCTTGTTAAAAAATGATAGTAATTGAGAAAGTACTGGATGGGTTCAGGAATAATTTTAGTGGTATGTAAGTAGAATGCCAGAAATACATGAAAAGAAAGCAGAAGGAAAGAAATAATAAAGAAAAAAGTCATCAGCTAATGAATTTGTAAAGAATTAATATATTCAAGATTTGGTACTTTAAAACAACAGAAAATTAAAATTTAGGCTATTAAAAGAAAAAGTAAACATAAGTTAGAAACACTGAGGCTTTGCATTCTTATATGAAGAGTTAAATTATTATATAAATGATGTTGAAACAAATGTCCAAAAAACATGCTGGATACTAACGTCATACTCTGTGCCAAAATAAATTCTAGACAGTAAGCATTGAAATATAAAAATGAAGGAACAAAAAATTCCTAGATCAAAATTTTGATGAATTCATATTCTTGGTGGGGAAGGATTAATAGTAAATGAAGAAATAGGTTTTTACCTTTCACATTATTTCTTTCTAAATGTTGAAAAGATTAGTAAACAAACAAACTAGTGACAATTTAGGCAACAACTCAGGTAGTCAAAAGATTAATACCTATAATATATTGATTACTTTTCACATACTTTTAGATTTGACAAAGAGCAAAACATAGTTCTCAAAAGAAAAAAATAAAATAGTCAAGTATTTAAACAATCAGTTCTCTGACCCAATAGTTCAACCTTTATTAATTTTTATACATAAATAATTGAGGAATATGAACAAAGATTTAGTCAAAAAGATGTTCAGTCACAGTGTTGTATATACTAACAAAAAACTAGAAATAAATCTGCACTTCCAGTGGTAGGTGAGAATGGTTATAGCATGGTATATTTATGTAAAATACCATTAGCCATTGCATGATTATTTAACTATGAGACAAAACCCACAAACTGTAAAGGAAATGGTTGGCAAATTTTGTTTTCTTGATAGTTAAATTTCTGTGTGGCCAAAATATGATAAAGTAAAACTAAAAGACAAATGACAAATGGGGGAAATAGTTACAATTCATATCACAATTAATATCTCAAATATATAAGATACTTCTAGAAATCTGAGAAAAAGACCTACAAATAGACAAGTGAGCAAAGGATTTGACAGACATTTCATCAAAAATGGAAATAAATAGCTCTTAAAAATAAGAAAATATGCTTAACCCCATTTATAGAAAAAGGAATGTGAATTACAAGCATGTAGAGGTACCACTTTTTACTTATGAGATTGGCAGAAACCAAAAGATTTTGCAAAGGATGTGGGAAAAATAGGCACCACCCTACCCTGTAAGTTGGTATAACCTCAGTAGAGTAGTAATTTGGAAATACCTACGAAAAATGCAAAATTTTTACTAGGTTTGACTCAGCTCCTCTCTTTATAAAGCCCTTTTCTTGCTCTAGAGACTTAACCACCATGCAAAATGGCATTTGTACAGTAATTACTCAAAGCATTGCTTAATAGAAGATTGGAAACAACCCAAATGTCCTTCAGTAGAGAACCAGTTCGGTAAATGCGGGTACAGCTATACCATGGAGTCCTCCAGGGCTGTAAAACAAAACAAGGAAAAGGTCTATGTACAGACATGGAAAGAGCCCGAAACTTGTTAAATGAATTAAGTATAATATAATTATAAATAATAGTGTTAAATATATTGAGTCATATTGATGGTACACAATTAAGATTGCCACGTATTAATAAATAATGTTATTAAATGTATTAAGTAATGTCAAATGTTGCATTAATTATTAAAAGTTCAATTAGTATTGTTAAGTGATTGAAATAATGCTATGTGCATTAAAAATTTCCAAAAGGATCAGCAAGGCATATACAGGGAAGTGTTTTACACTCTGATTTTGAAAGCATATGAATTTGTTAACTGTGGGGGAAAAAAACCAAATAATCCTAGGCAAGCAGACAGATAGATAAAGGACAGACATAGTAATAATCATAGATATAAACATAGTTATTTAAATGCCAGTTTCAACTCAAAAATAAGATTTCTCCTGTTAGGGCAAAATATTGACAGTGGTTTTACTCTTCATGCTTTCCATTGTATAATCTTCTACATGTCTTTTTTCTTACTCTACTAAAAAAACCTTCCTAAATAAGTATATGCATATTCTTTCCTGTTGATTTTTTTTATGGAATTCATAATGATAGCTTTTTCAGTACTTATGAAGATTTTTTTCACTGCTTACAATAGTAGAGTTTTTTTTTTTTTTTTTACATAGAGATTCTTAATACTAAAAAAGTGAATGAGGAATATTTCACAATTGTCAGTGATATTTTTTTACCACTTAAAAATCAGCAACTTTCTGTGATGGCACATGGGCCAGGTAAGTCAGTTAAGTACTAGCAAAGTGCAAGATGTTGAATTACTTGAAGGAGAATCTTGCTTCTCATGACTTCTCAGTTTCCCATACTATTTAGTACATGTTGTTGTATGCATGGGGTCCTCTTCACTATTGTACGGTCACACTACTTGTTTTGTTCACTATCTTCCTTCTCATCTATGCAGAATGAATTAAAGATTTAGTTGGACTTTTTCAGCTTCCTGTTATTAACTTCTAAATACTTTATGCAGGCTTCTTATTTTGTCACACAGAATATCAAAAGACACAAGATTTACTACAGCTAATCCTTTTTTAAACTGCAAGTTCATAGCAATGAAAAATACAACAATTGTTGATACGGTTTAGTGCCCCTGCTTTGAACCTGGGTGCTACAATGCCTTACATTTTGGGGTTGTTTGTTTGATTGTTAATTTAGTTTAGTTAATTTAGATAATAATGTTTAATTAGCATCTGTTTAGTTAAGAGAAAAATGTTGAAGAACATCTATGTTTTCAAGTTATTTCTTAAACATTGCACTTGTGCAAATGTGTGTGTCTGGTAGGGTTCAAATACCCCGTCATAATCCTCCATTCATCATTTTCATCTCTTGACAATCTGTGTCACAAATTCATCAGGATTCTGGGGATAGTTAGCTAAGGCCTCCCTCTTAGAGCCTGTATTCTAAAGGAGCTAACAGACCACAAATAAGAGAGGTTTCCAGGCTGAGGAAACAGAGTCAAAGGCTTCGAGTCAAGAGCAGAGTGAAGGAGGGAAGTGAAATGGGATGAACTTGGAGAGGTAGGTAAAGGATGGAACAGGTAGGGCCTTCAGGCCAGCTAAAGAGTTCGAGTTTTATTCTAAAGGTTTGGGGAAGCTATTGGAGGATTTTAAAAAGGGAAGAGGCATAATATGATTTGCATTTTTGTAAGATTTCTCTATGGGGAAGAATCTAGATAGCAAGTATACAAACAGGGACCTAAGGTGACAGAATCCAAGTCGGAGATCATGGAAACTGGAACAAGGTGGGAAAGTCGAAGGACGGAGGCTGTGTTGGAGGTACAGCTGCCAGGCTTACAGGAGGCTAATGTGGCCGTTAGGAGAGTGAAGGCTCAAGGTTAACCCTGGGGTTTTGATTTTTAGACTGAGCAGATTGGATGCCATTGATTTAAAGAGACTGAGGGCTGAGGGGGGGGGATCCAGGTTCTGTTGGGAACATGTCACATTTGAGATACTTACCAGGCGTCCATGTGGAGATGAGGTGTACTAGCTGGAAACTCAGGAGAGAGAGATCAGGGCTCTCCCTAATGAATGGGATGTGCTGATGTTTTTTAGGGAGAGAACAGAGAGAGGAGAGAAGAGGGCTGTTCACCAATTAACCTGGAAGCATTTCATTATTTTAATACCAGATGCAGATGTGCCAGGATAGGCTGGCTCAGTGTAAGCCCTGAATTTAACAATATATTGATTGCTGGAGCCTTAGCATGAGTGGTTTCAGGAGAGTTGTGGGGAAGCAAGCTCAGTTGGAGAGGGTTGAGGAGGAACATTAGAGAGATGGGTGAGGAAATGGAGGGAGTAACTAGTGACAGGCTTCCCAGGAAGTCTTGCTATAAAGTGAATCAGAGAAACGGGGCTAGAGCTTGTGGGTTGCTTGCAGGTGAGGGAGAGCATTTTTAAAGATGCGGACTATTTTGGAGCAAGGTTACTCAAACTGCACCCCACTGGTAAGCAAAATGTTTGTTGACATACAGAATAGAAGAGCACGGAAAGTGGGAGATGGTATTTGGAAACTTATGGCGGTTTGGCATAGCTGAAACATTCAAGCACATGATCATTTCTCTAGTACTCATTTTTTATTATATGTTTTAAAGGTGTCAGTGATGGTTGAGGTTTAAAACAACAGCAACAAAAAGTAGTCCTTAAGCCACAGAGTTTGGGAAGCTCCAGAATGTGTTTGAGAGTTGATAGCATGATCCAGTATAAAGGGAGACGTTGATGATCCAGAGGAGAGCAGGAATAGTATTAGGATAGAATCTTTAGGAAAGGGAGACTATCAGGATACCAAGTGTCAGTGGTGGAGAAAATGCTCTTGGATAGGAGCGACAGTGTTTCTTCCTTTTCACAGAAGGAAAGTCAGAAAATAAACTTATAAATGCAAGGCGATGGGTGGGGATTGGTGGGGGAAAAGTGAGGGGGGCCCTTCCAGGTGCATCAGGACCCTCTTACCTTCCTAGCTTCAACTGACATCCAGGCAAACCCAGACTTTCTTGTATATATAAAATGTAAAGTATGAATGAAGCAAAATTCTCACTGTAGCCAGTGTATGAATATGAGTAGCCTATGAATGTCAAGTGAAATTCAGAGTCATCTTGGCTTGTGTACTATATGAATATCAGATGAAATTCAGAAGTATCTTGCCTCGTCTACATTATGGTTTTTAAAATAACATAGAGTTGACCCAGTAGTGGAAAAAAAAAAAGGCAGGCTGCAAATTTTTCACATCGGGTGATTTTTCAGCAGGAGTGACTTAGATTGTTTTCCTGGAGAAAGCCACACAAGGCTTGTGTCCTGAAGCATAAAATTTTACTAGCACTCTAGAGGTTAGATTTAAATGAAAGTGAACTAATAAGCAAGTTTTATATTACCAGTCGGATGAATGTCATGACTTAAAATCACTGATTCTAGCAGTGTGTTCCAGTTAGAATAAAATTTCACGTTCTGCAGTCAATTGCAGTTACTCATCAAGACATTGAATTAATGCATTTTGATGAACCCAGGACATGGCCTTTCTAGAAGAGAGTAATTTTCTGTAGATAGGATGAAAGAAACAATTGTGGGTTATTCTAGAAGAGGGTGATTTTAGCTTTGAGCTTCTAACAGAACTTGGAAAGTCTTTGCTCCCCTCCATAGAGGTTGACAGAAATTAGGACAGAGACTGTGTTGTCTGGAGGGCTTCAGGTTCTGTGAAATAACTAGGGAATTTTAGAGTTTTTTGCATATCGCTCTTAAGCTTCTTTGGAATAGAGATTCAGAAATTCTGAGTTTGGAATGGGCCTCATTATCTCTTTTATGATTTTCTGTATTTGTTTATGATTTTGCAATAATGCTTTTTACTTTTTTATTTCAAAAAAAACTTTAGAAAAAATTAGTAGTCTGAATCAGTAAAGCTTCTGAGGTACACACCCAGTTTTTTGTTTTTTAATTTCAGTGGCTTTAGGGAGTACAGATGTTTTTCTGTTACACGGATACGTTGTAGAGTGGCAAAAAAGTCTCACTCCCAATTTTTAAATGGATAGCATAGAAGGAAGATTTTGCAACTTTAGAAAGATGAATAGTATGATATGATTTTGTAATATCTCTAATTTAGATTTTATGTTGTATTTTTATTTTAAATTCACATTTATTTATTTATTTATTTATTTTGAGTTGGAGTCTCATTCTGTTGCCCAGGTTGGCATGCAGTGTCACGTACACTCACAGTCATCCCAGTATCAACCTGCTGGGCTCCAGCGATCCTTCCACCTCAGCCTTCTACCCCAGCCTTCCAAGTAGCCAGAACTACAGGTGTGCGCTACCTTGCCTAGCTAATTTTTTATTGTAGAGACATGGTCTCACCCTTTGCCTGGGCTAGTCTTGAACCTGTGGGCTCAGGCAATCTACTCGCCTCGGCCTCCCAAAGTGCTGGGATTACAGGCCGAGCCACCGAGCCTGACATATGTTGTATTTTTAAACAAATGATGTGTTTTCTAACCCTGAAACACATATATTTAGGGGATATACATCTGTTCAATTTGATGAGTTTCAGTGAAACCAATGGTTTAGTTTATTCCAGGCACATTTCATTAGGTCAAGAAATTAAGAGTTATAAAAAACAGGGAAAATAGCTGACTGTTGCCAATTGGTCTCTTAGACTATGCATGAGAATATATCTGTGAGATTTACAAAAGAACCTAATACTATCCAGTAAGCATGCAGAGCTAAGTGATGCAAGGTACTTTTTAACTTTATTCATTTGAATATAACATTATTACATGGCCTATGTTATAGATAGAATTTTGAGATGAGAATAAAGACACCTTGGAAATGGGCTGTTGGAGACCTTAGATGTATACATCTGCACATTCATCCATTGGCAGCTTCAGAATCAAAGTTACTGTTGTCAGGAGAGAACACTAATATCATATTTAGTGAGAAATTATTCATTTGCATATAAGTGATTTTAACTTAAGAAGTCTCTTTGGCACATAAAACTTTTATCACTGTTTTCCAGGTAGAGATTCATAGAACAGTATTACATAAATGTTTTAATATTCTGTCTTGAGGATTTCCTTATTTGTAAACAATTACTTTCCCTAGTTCAAGGAGAGAGCAATACCAGTCTTATTTGAAATTATTGAATAGTAAAACCTTTGTGAGAACTCTAAGACCTTCCTAATAAAATATATTTTTTTCTGGCAACATTTAAGAAAGAAAGGTAAGCCAACATAATATTATTGGCAACTTTTTAGACTCTCCCAAGAAAGATTTTTTTTTTCAATCCATATTTAAAATACTAAGACCACCTTTTTAATATCTTTCATTTAACTATGTCCCAAACTTTGGACTGACTTGACATCATTCTCGTACACAATGAGTAATCATCAGAGACCTTTTATTCCTATGTCTGGGTTGGGGCTAGCCTTTCTCAGTGCTGTGAGTCACTGTTGGATTTACCTAGTAAGGAAAACCATTCTCTGAAGCTGGGCAAGAAGAGAATGGGAAGCAAAAGTTCCTTTGTTTATTTAATATCTTGTGGGTTTGTTTTGTTTTGTTTTCCACCCAGAAATAGAAAACAAAAAAAAGAGGAATATGCTATGAAAGTAATATTTTTTTCCTGAATCCAAGAGATGGCATCTGTGGTGTGGCAGAAGATCTAATGCTTTCCTCTTAACTGAGCTTTCTCTTAATACTTAAAATCTGATGCACTAATCCATGAGCATAAAGTTTCAGTTCCTCAAGGTGAATAAGTTCTAGAGATCTGCTGTACAACATCATACCTATCGTCAACAATTGTGGTATCATGCATGCTCAAAATATTTGTTAAGAGGTTAGATCATATGCTGTGTTCTTACCACAATGAAAGGAAAATTAATAAAGTAAAAATGCTGTTATATATTATGGTTAGTTACCATATCTCCCTTAGTTAAATAGAAAAATGAGCAGAACTGAAAAATTCTTATTAAATTCTGACTGTCAGAGTAGTGATAATGAATGTTAAGGGGATCCGAACACTCTCATTCCATATGAGGGGAAGATGACAGCCTGATCTTTTTTAAGTGAATCATGAGTATTTGTGATTTGTTTAGGTGGGCAGATCGACAGAAAGCCCTATCGACTTCGTTGTGACAGACACAATTTCCGGCAGTCAGAACAACGATGAAACCCAGATCACGCAAAGCACCATTTCCAGGTTTGCCTGCAGGATTGTGTGTGACCGAAATGAACCTTACACCGCGTGGATATTTGCAGCCGGATTTGACTCTTCCAAAAACATATTTCTTGGAGTAAGTACTATCCATAAGTACATTGTTTCAAGAAAACATCTATTATTATGATATAGAACATTTAACATGCAAAGCAAGTTGTTTTTTTTTCTTGCCCCAATTAAATGTTAGCTGGCTAGATTTTGAGATTTTAGATCTAGTTAGATTTTGATTTCAGTTTTCAGGTGGCCAGTTTGAAATGCTGTCATTAAAAATCCGAAAGTTACTTGTTATTCACTATATTTTCTATATTAATTATAATTTTTACAGTAATCTTTAAAAGTGTGTGTATTAACATTGTATATAATGTATTAATGGTAGTTAAGAGACGTGTTTCAGAGGGAAAAATAAATTGCCAAGTCCAGATCATTAGGGATCAAAGGAAAATGTTTGTGATGCTTTTTTGTGCTGTTTTTTTAAATTTAAAAATGTTTTATTGAGTGTTGCCATACTCCTTTCTGTGTGTTACAGATGTAGTGTCACAGAGAACAAAACAGATTAAAAACCTCTGTCCTCTTAGGGTTTCCTTGTAAATGAACTCCAAACGTTTTAGTGAATATCTGGTTTTGATAATAGTTCCCTTTTGAATCAGAATATTTTGCAGTAAAAAAAAGACTCAGTATGACCCAAACAATAATAAAAACATATTGTCCCACATAACAAGTGCTGAGGAAGACCAGCTCCAGGGTGGGGTGATTCAGTGCTTCTGTGATGTCCAGGGCCCCAGTTTCCTTCTGTCTTGCCCTCTACCTCCAAGGCACACCAGTTTCTTCCCAGAAGGTCTTCAGTGGATGAGAGCCAGCTCCTCTGCTTCCAGACATTCCATGCCTCATGACAACTTCCAGCCAAAGAAGAGGTGGCAGGGACACTGTTTCTTCCTTGTCTCTTCAAGTAAAGAAACCTTCCCCAGAGATGTCATCTGTGTCTCACTGGCCAGAACCCATTAGGAAGAGGATTGGGAGTGTCCCGTTGGCATACCCTAACCAAGGTGTTCCCCCCACTCATGTGACTTTACCTGGGCTTTGTCACCAAGAAAGAAGAGACAAATGGCTGGCACAGGCACCCAAGAGTGTCTCTCCTGCTGTGCGTCAAGCTGCTTGTACTGTCTTCCTTGTAGGATATAAACATTGATTGGTGTGACGACATAGTGGCCACAACTTGTCGGCTTAACATTGTTTGAATTTTGTACCTTTAGTACTTCTTTTCTTTTATGACTGTCCTTTTGTCTACATCCTGATAATGAGTGCATGTCAAGTATTTTTAGATAATAGGTTAAGAACCCTGCAGAAATATAACTGAAAAAGAAAACATAATATATTTTTGGAACCGCATGATGTGGTGTGGGAGGGTAGAAAGAATCTCTGAGTAGAAGACCGGGATGAGTTTTTTTTTAATTCCTCAGATGAATATAATGTGTATATGGTGATAGATCATTCATCCGTTTTAGCACTTCTTTTATACTGTCAGAATAATTGCATATTTTATCCTTATGATTATTGGCTTTAAATAGAAAATGAAAATCTACCACCTTCCTCCCCTCTTCCACTACACAGTGTCCTGAAGAAATTCTAGAATCCCTTCTGTTTGAACATCATCGTAGCTGCTTTTTCTGTTTGTTGTGCTGTCCAGGAAAAAGCAGCAAAATGGAAAAACCCCGACGGCCATATGGACGGACTAACTACTAATGGCGTCCTGGTGATGCATCCACGAGGGGGCTTCACCGAGGAGTCCCAGCCCGGGGTCTGGCGCGAGATCTCTGTCTGTGGTGATGTGTACACCTTGCGAGAAACCAGGTCGGCCCAGCAAAGGGGAAAACTGGTGAGTGGGCCATGCTCCAGAAAACGTACCAAATTGCCTAACTGGAGGGCTGTCATTTTCCTTCCCCTGACATTTAGAACCTTTGTATGGTACAAACACTGTGTACTGTGACCTAGGAGAATGACAATTCCACAAGCACCTGACGATAAAAGGGAAATGGCCTTACTTCCTTTAATGATTAAACTTTTCCCATAGTGGAAATAAGTTATTTTTTGCTTCTTACTGCTTTAATAGCATTTTGTTTCTTGAGTCAGGGTCTCACTCTGTCACCCAGGCTGGAATATGGTAGCACGAACACAGTTTACCACAGCCTTGACCTCCTGTCCTCTGATCTCAGCCTCCCAAATAGCTGGGTTACATGTGCATGCCACCACACCCAGCTAATTTTATTTTATTTTTTGTAGAAATGAAGACTCACTGTGTTGCCCAGCCTGGTTTCAAATTCCTAGGCTCAAGCAATCCTCCTGCCTTGGCCTTCCAGAGTGCTGGAATTACAGGTGTGAGCCACCATACCCAGCCAAGAGCATAAAATTTTGTATTGTGTACCACCCCACAAAATTCTACTTGAATTCACTTTAAGGAGGATAAACTTATTTTTAGTGTAAAATTTACTGATTCAGAAAAATTTTGAGCAGTTCAAGATCAAAATGAAAATTTACCACCTTCCTCCCCTCTTCCTCTACCTAGTGTTTTAAAGAAATTCCAGAATCCCATCTGTTTGAATATCATCTTAGCTGCTTAGTGAAAATCGTGAATTGAAGAATCATTTACTAGACTTTCTGAAATTTGGAAATAATTAAGTTAGCTTCTTTCCTGGAGTTCATAGTAATAAGTTAATACAGAATTATCTATGTTGGCCACCAAAATCGTAGTTACGACTTTTTACTTGAAATGATTCATTTACTGTATTGGCCTGGCATGTTAATATTTTTTCTATAAATATCACCATTTATCCCATGTCCTAAAGCAGTTGGTTTTTAATACTTCTATGGAAAATAATTATAGGTTTTTTTTTTATTTTAAAGACTTGGGGTATAATTCAGGGTTGGGTATACAAATGTTCATTATGCAGGTGCCCTTGTTAATGAGGTGTGCACCCCCCCTTCCCCAGGCAGATTCCCACTACTGCCACTTCCCCGCCCCCCTCCCAGCAGTTTCCTGCTACTGCCAATCGTTTTTTAAATAGTATTATGATAATTTTTCAAGGTTCACTTATGAGTGTGAATGTGATACTCAGTTCTTTGTTTCTGTGATACATTCAGGTTGCTATGAAGTTCATGATTTTTTTCTTCTTTATGGGTGTGTAATATTCCATCATGTATATGTACCACACTTTTTTTTAATCCAGTCCTCTTTTGATGGGCAGCACGGTTGGTTCCATGTTCTTGCTACTGTGAACAATGCTGCAATAAACAAGTGCCTGTCTCTTTTTTATAGAATGATTTGAGTTATTCCCGGTATATTCCCAGTAAGATTGCGGGGTCATATGGAAGGTCAATTTTTAGATCTTTTAGGAATCACAACACCATTTCCACAGAGGCTGTACTAGTTTACACTCCCAGCAACATTGTAGAAGTGTTCCCTTTTCGCTGCATCCTCTCTAGCATCTGTTGTTTTTTGCATTATTGATGATAGCTATCCTGACTGAAGTGATATCTCAGTGTAGTTTTAATTTGCATTTCTTTGATAACTAGTGAGGCTGAGCATTTTTTCATGTATCTGTTGACTGCTCCTGTGTCTTCTAGAACTGTCTATGCATATCTTTTACCCACTTTGTAATGGGGCTGTTCGTTTTTTTCTTTTCAGCACATTTCAGTTCCTTGTAGATCCTAGATGTTAGGTCTTTGTCAGACATACAGTTGGCAGATATTTTTTCCCAGTCTGTGGGCTGTCTCCCTGCTCTCTTCGTGGTTTCTTTGGCTTTGCAGGAGCTTGTCAGTTTGATGAGGTCCCATTTATCTATCTTATCTCTTATGGCATGGGTACTTGGGATTTTGATCAAGAATTGGTTGCCAGTAGCAATTTCCATAAGGGTATCTCCAGCATTTTCTAAGGTTCTTATAGTTTGAGGTTTTACATTTAGGTCTTTGATCCAATTAGAGCTGACTTTTGGGTATGGTGATAGGTAGGGGTCCTGTTTTAATTTTCTGCATGTGGTCAGCCAGTTTTCCCAGCACCATTTACTGAATAGGTTCTCCTCTCCTCAGTCATTGGTGGTACAGGCTTTGTCGAAGATGAGTTGGTTGAGAAATTGAGGTTTTGCTTCTGGAATCTCTATCCGGTTCCATTGGTCTATATGCCTGTTCTTGTACCAATACCAGGCTGTTTTGATTATTGTAGCTTTACAATAGAGTTTAAAGTCTGGGAGTGTGATACCTCCCACTCTGTTTTTGTTTTTGTTTTGCTGAAGATTGTTTTGGCTAATTGTGGTCATTTATGTTTCCATATGAATTCCTGTATTGTCATTTCCAAGTCTGAGAAGAATGCTGCTAGTAATTTAATGGGTATTGTATTAAATCTGTAGATTGACTTGGGTAAGATGGACATCTTAACAATGTTGACTCTTTTAATCCACAAGCATGGAATATTTTCCATTTGTTTGTGTCATCTTGAGTTTTTTTGAGCTGTGTTTTGTAGTTTTCATTGTAAAGATCTTTCACATCTCTGGTTAGGAAGATGCCAAGATATTTGAATTTTTTTCTTGCTATTGTGAATGGGATTTGCTTTTTCTAAGGGTTTCTGTTTGTTTATTATTGGTGTATTGAAATGCGACTGTCTTTTGCACATTTATTTTATACCCTGAGACTTTGCCAAAGTCCTTTATCAGTGCAAGGAGATTTTTGACAGATTCTCTTAGGTTTTCTAAGTACAGAATCATGTCATCTGCAAAGAGGGATAACTTGACTTCCTCTTTTCCTATTTGGATACCCCTGATCTCATTTTCTTGTCTGATAGCTCTAGCTAGGACTTCCAAAACTATGTTGAGAAGGAGGGGTAAGAGTGGGCATCTTTGTCTTACTCTGGATTTCAGGGGAAATGGTTCCAATTTCTGTCTGTTTAGCAGTATGCTGACTGTGTTTCTCATAGATGACTCTTACTATTTTGAGGTATATTCCTTCTATGCCTAGATGTTCGAGGGTTTATATCAAGAAGGGTGCTGGATTTTATTAAAAGCTTTTTCCATGTCTAATGATATAATCATGTGATTTTTTTCCTTTTACATCTGTTGATGTATTTAATTATGTTTACGTTCTTATGAATGTTGAAGCAGCCCTGCAACCCGGGGATGAAGCCTACTGGGTTGTGATGGATAATTTTTGAGATGTGTTGTTGAATCCAATTTGCTAGGATCTTGTTGAGAATTTTAGCATCTGTGTTCATCAAGGATATTGGTCTGTAGTTCTCTTTCTTTGTTGGATCTTTGCCTGGTCTGGGTATCAATGCGATATTAGCTTGGTAAATGATTTGGGGAGAGTTCCATCTTTCTTGATTGCCTGGAATACTTTCAGTAGGATTGGTATCAGTTCCTCTTTGTATGTTTTGTAAATTCTGCTGGAAAGCCATCTGGTCCAGGGTTTTTGTTTTTGTTTTTGTAGGTAGTTTTCTTATGACATAGTCAATTTTCTGGGTTGTTATTGGTCTATTTAGGGTCTCAATTTTTTCTTGTTTCAACTTGGGGAGGTTATGTGATGTCAGAAAGCTCTCCATTTCCTTTAGGTTTTTAAGTTTGTTTCCATATAAGTGTATATAATAGTCTCTGATAATCTTTTGTATTTCTTCGGGGTCAGTTGTGACTTGATCTTTTGCATTTCTGATTGTTTTTATTTGGGCTTTTTCTCTCTTTTTCTTGGTCAGTCCTGCTAGGGGACCATCAATCTTGTTTATCTTTTCAAAGAACCAGTTTTTTGTTTCGTTGATTTTTGTATTATTTTTTTTTTCTCCTATGTCCTGAATTTTGGCAATCTGAAGTCTTCTGCTGAAGTTAGCGTTTTGATGGTCTTGCTTTTCCAGCTCCCTTAGGGGATTTTTTTAGTCTGTTAACTTGTGAGCTTTTCATTTTCTTCATGTGTGTTTGTAGAGATATGAATTCTCCTCTTAGTACTGATTTCATGGCATCCCAGAGGTTTTGGTAAGATGTTTCTTCATTTTCATTTGTTTCCAAGTATCTTTTAATCTCTATTTTGATTTCCATGTTGACCCAGGAGTTGCTTAGCATCATGCTATTTAGTGTCCATGTCTTTGTGGGGTTTGGGAAAACTTTGTTGGTGTCAATATTTATTTTTATTCCCCTGTGGTTTGTTTGAGAAGGCGCATGGCAAGATTTTAATCTTGACAAATTTGTCTATGCTTGATTTATGGCCAAGGTTGTGGTCAGTCTTAGAGTATGTTTCATGTGGTGATGAGTAGAATGTGTATTCCATGGTTGTTCGGTGGAGTGTTCTGCAGGTATCAGTTTAGTCCATTTGGTCAAGGATCACGTTGAAGTTCTGGATCTCATTGTTGATTTTATGTCTCAATGATCTGTCTAGTGTTGTGAGTGGGGTATTTAAATCCCCAGCTATGATAGTGTTAGAGTCAATATCTTTTTTAAGTTTACCTAGAAGTTGCTTTATGAAAGTTGGTGCTTCTGTGTTGGGTGCATATATGCTTAGGATGGATATTTCTTGTTGTTGGATTGAACCTTTTATCATTATGTAGTGACCGTTTGTGTCTTTTTAAATTTTTGATAGCTTAAAGGGTGTTTTGTCTGATATTAGGATTGTGATTCCTGCTTTCTTTTGTGTTTTGTTCACCTGAAATTTTGCTCCCCATCCTCTTACTTTGAGTCTGTGAGTGTCCTTTCTGGTGAGATGAGTGTCTTGGAAATAATATATTGCTGCTTCATGATATTTTATCCATCTTGCCATTCTGTATCTTTTCAGTGGTACATTTAGTCCATTCACATTCCGGCTAATTATTGAATGTGAGAGTTTATACCTGTCATGAGGTTCTTATAGAGT